CAAGAATCTGCTTCTCCATGAGACTCTTTCCTCGTTTGTTGAACTTAGCTGCTCGAGGGGCAGACAGTGGAAAGACAGAATCTCAGCTCGAGTTTAACGCGTGTGACAAACTGAGTCCCACTTGGAGGAATCTGTCCAACACTGGGAAGGGGAGTTATCAGTCACTGTGCAATGAGCACCCTTGAATCGAATGTTATTTCGATGAAGATGTTTTATACTCTGTGATCCAGACTACAAATAGAAAATAGCAAAACATAAATGTCCTAGGGTTTTACAACTCTAAAGGGCTGTTTTATGTGCCGTGGATAGAGATGATGATGCCATTTAATGGGGTAATTTTATAAGCAAGGGAAGACAGAGCCTCACACGCTGTCACGCCCTGTCTCCCTCGGCAGAGTCTCACAGACACGCACACCTGTTCTCCCCTTGGAGCTGAAGGGGGCTCAGTGGGCAAAGCCACATTCATACCCAAGTATGTCTTCCTTCCAGAAGCTCCAACGTGAGAAGCCTGTCCCAAGCGTCAAAGGGGTTGTGAGTGCAGCTCCACCCCAAAGTCTCTGGACTCCTGGGCAGGAGGCCGCCCCACACCTGCGACGCCACCCTCACTGCTGTCTCCAGGTCTGGGTACACCTGTCGCTGTTAGATGCTAACTGAAGCATCCTTAAAGAGCGAAGAGGCGCCCATGCGCACAACTAAATACCAGAATCAAGTTTCAACTGCTTAGTCCTAGCTCTTCATTTCCACCTCAACAGGGCTATTATAAAAGCATGTTCCTTCCAACAAGCTCCTGTTGGCTGTCTCCAGAGTACAGACGTGAAAGAAAGAATTTTCCTCTCTGATTTCTAATGTCCCACAGTTATTCAGACTATTACACTCAAGTGTCCTTTGGCACAGTCTATGAATCCAGCAGCGGCAGAAGAAAGCACAGCCACCAAATTTTCAGTCTCCCTCCTGTGCTGCTGTACATCTTAGATGGAAGATGTCACTCGAGAGTCTCATATAAAAAGCACTCTCAGATTTATTTGCTTTTTAATATTATGAGAGTGCAACAGAAATTGATTTGGCATCTTATACTCTGTACTCATGAAGTTAGACTTCAAGGGGCTGAATGCTCTTAGAAAATAGTTACACAGATTAAATATTTCTAAAATAACATCACGGGATAAGCAAGACAATGGGCTATGATTTTGTGCTTCAGTAACTGTTTCTGGTGTTCTTGTCTTCAAATATTTTTTTTTGGCATGGTACTCAGATATGGTTTTTGAAAATAAAATCTACCAAGAATGTTCTCTCCTTCCTTTCTCTCTTTCTGCTTAATTGTGCTAATATACTAGCTAGGGCAGTTAAATTTTAAATGGCATGTATATATTTAGCAGTATAATTATGCAAATTCTACCATGTTTATGATTGTCAATATCCTTTGGGAACAGTTACTTAGCGTCTAGTCCTGAAACAATTTTTGAAGGATTCTGGTTGAAATGCTCAGATTTCACTCCTGAATTTTTTGCTCTTGTGGGAAGGTGAGGCTCAGAGATCTCAGCCACTGAGCAAAATAATTCATACTAGGAGAAAGTACAGATTCTGTGGTGGACCTGGACATGCTATGCTACACACTGGCTCCTGAGAGGCTCCCCAGAAATGGCAGCTGCCAGCGATAAGCACATGACACTGGCAGGACTACTCAGTCCGGCCACTGAACTCTCCCGAAGAGCTCAGAGCCAGTCAGAGCTGCGGCTGGGGGGGGTGGGGGTGGGGGCAGCACAAGTCCCACCCTTCTTCCTCCACCCAGTTCCCATCTGTCCAGGTAATGTGGGGAGGCGGGAGCAGAGCAAGCAGAGTTCTTTCCAGAGAACAGCTGGCGATTTCATCACAGGCCTGAGCTTGGCTGAGGCGGGGTTAGGTCCTCCGTAACAGTGGTTCTCAGTGACAGGGTGTACGCGCCTGCTTTCTAAGAGTGTGCGTGAGTGTGAGTGTTTGTGTGTATGTTTGCTATGTGCCTGCATGGTATGTGTCTGTGTAAGACATATGTGTGAGTCTGTGGAGTGTGTTTCTGTGAGGTGTGCACCTCTGGGTGTACGTGTGTGTGTGTGTGTGTGTGTGTGTGGTGCATATCTGTGTGGTGTGTGTCTGTGAGGGCGCACAGGAGAATGGAACCCAGCCACCGACACACTCACAGGCCTTTAACTCCTCCTGCAGGCCAAAAGCTGATTAACAGGTGAGGAGTGACCCAGGCCAGATGTGTGAAATGCAATTCTTCCTGACAGTTCACATTTTAGGGAAGGAAAGAAGGAAATTATATTTCTAATTACAGTAGGATCATATGTCAGAATATGACGGTAATGACAGTGTATTTTAGGTGAGCAGTAATCTTTTTAGTCAACTTCTAAAATATTTTTATTCTAGATATACGGTAATTTGTGGATTTTCTAAAACAGTTCTCTCACACTGCAAACAAATCCACAGAATTTTCTGAGATTTGAAACAATGGAGTCTCTGAGGTTGGCAAATCTGTTTTAAAAAGGGAACGGAGGCCCTACAAGGGTACTGAGGGAGGTTGGGTGTGGTGGTGCACCCCTGTGACCCCAGCACCCTAGGAGGGTGAGGCAGGGGAGGGCAAGTGGAGCCCAGCCTGGGCAACTCAGCCTCTCAGTGAGACCCTGTCTCTAAATAAACAGCAGAGAAAGGTCTAGGGACGAACCTCAGTGTAGACGCTCTAGGTCCAGCCCCAGTACCGCAAGGTAAATGAATGAATGAATAAAACAGGGTAATACAGCTGGACTGAAACCTCCCATTCTCCAGGACTTGCCAGGGAGCCATGTAGAGAGGACCCTAAGATCTGCAGGAAGCTCCTCTGCCCCCCACCACGCCCTGTGCAAAGAGGGCTCCACGTGCAGGGATGCATGGTAACCACCAGGTCCCCTTGCTGGAGCTGGGAAGAGATGGACACCACTGCTGGCCAAAACGTGCCCGGACCCAGTGTACCATGACCACCCTCTGCCGCCCAGGGGCGTCGGGGCGGGGTGAGTGTGGGGCTGGGGGCACTGGGGAGGATGGATGTGGATTCTGCCCTTCAACTTTCTCTCTGGGAGATGGATTCTTTCTATTCTTTTCTGGTCTAGATTTTTTTTAAGAGAGGGTCTCGCTATGTAGTTCAGGCTGGCCTTGAACTCACTATGTGGCCCAGGCTGGCCTCAAGCTGCTGCAATCCACCTGCCTCAGCCTCCCGAGTGCTGGGCTTACAAGATAAAACTGTTGTGGCTCTACATCCCCTCCTTTCAGCAATGCACCATTTTCCCCTGCATCTTGGGCCCACTGCAGGGGATGCGTCTATAACCCTTTCCGCAAAGCATGCGGCACAAGCTCCCAGGCCTATGGAGCACCTCAGCCGATTCCTCTCTGGTGGTGACAACAGTCTGTCTTGCAGAGCCACCACGAGTGCATATCTCAAACCCCTTAGCTGTCCATGGTTAGGAGGAAAGTGCCTTTCTCTGGTTCTTAGAATTTCACTTCCTAGCCGGGTACATGCCCATAATCCCAGCTACTCAGGAGGCTGAGGCAGGAGGAGTTCAAGTGTGAGGCCAAGCAGGGCAACTTAGCAAGACCCTGTCTCAAAAATTAAAAAAAAAGGGGGGCTGGGAATGTAGCTCACTCCCTGGATTCAATCTCCAGTACAGCAAGAAAAAACAAATTCACTTACTAAGGACTTCGGAAAGGGGAATAAAAATTATTTTCCAATCCTTAATTTCCCAGTCTTCATAATCAAGTCAGCCACTTATCTGCCTTCCTGGCTGAGTGAGCTCGGATTTGTTGTTGCATTAATGATCCCTTCCTTCCTGTTCATGTTCATTCTTGCTCTGTTCTCCTGAAATCCTCCTTCTGTGAGATCCCTGGGGACTGAACAAATAAGGAGGGACAGCCTTGCCTTTCGTGACAAAATTCCGCCAGCGGCAGGGCTCCCTGGCTTGTGTGTAAGAACAGCAAGGCGAGCTCACATTCCATCGACAGGTTCAGCCTTCTTCTCCAGAGCTTAGGTTATGTAACCCGAGGAAAAGGAAGTGGTACTTCCATTTTTAGTGAGGAGCACAGGACCCAGGAAGGCTCTGAGTAGCTAAATATCTGATTCTTATTTTCTTATGTCCCTTCTGAATTCACGTATGGAGGCAGGTAAGATGCTTAACCTCTTTGGTTTCAATTTCTTGAACTAGATTTTTATGATGACAATTATTGTGCTGATTTCCTTTTAACCAACTCAGGGTAGAGAAATTCCTTCTATCAATTTTGCTTTTTGTTATTACTTTATAAATTCTGGAGTGTTTTCAAAATACAGAAGGAAGGTTCAGGACTGAAAGTTTAAATATATATATGTGTATATATATATATGTATATATATATATATATATATATATATATATATATATAGAGAGAGAGAGAGAGAGAGAGAGAGAGAGAGAGAGAGAGATTTAAACACACAGTGTCTTGATTACCAGAAAATTTTTGCTGACTTCAGCAGCACTGCCGAGAGAGGATCCCATTGGACCCATCCTCTGTTCACGCCAATTCACTTTATCATCCGCGAACTCAGGCCCTGCTGCTTTCTTTCCATCTCCCCACCCAGAAGAGAAAGCAGAACTGCATTCTACAGGCAAAACCAGAAATTTCGACCCCGACAGTTAAACCGCTCACTCCTCACCTTGGGGGCCAGGTCAGTCACCACGCGCTCTGGTCTGCGTGTCCAAAGACTCTGTTCGTCACAGTTTCCTTCCGAACGATTCGGTTACGTCAAGGACACCGCTCTCGGGCCCCGCCCAGCGCCCACAGGAGCCGTCTCACGGGCGGGCGCCTGTCCGACCCCTGGCGGGCTGGCTGGCTGCCTACCGCTGTACCTCCCGCAGCCCCCCTTCGGACACTCTTCCCAGCAGGGGCGCCCTCTGCAGCCGCGCCCGGGCAGAGGCCGGAGCTGGGCACAGGCCGCCCTGGGACAGCCCTGTCCCGCGCCTTACCTGGTCTCTCTGTCTTTGGGGATCGTAGCAGTGCTGTACGCAAAAACTTGCTTCTCCACTAGAGGAGGGCCCAGGTCCACGAGGCCAGCCATCCCCGGAGTGCTCCGCGGCTTCTCGATGTACACCAGGGTGCCCGGCTCCTTTCTGAAGGACTGGCGGCCGGGCGAGGTGCGGTCGGGCTGCAGGGTGTGGGGGGCCCCGTGGGCATTGGGATGGGGGTGCAGGTCCAGCATTCGCAGGTCGCCCACGCGGTGAGGAGACGCAGGGGGTGTTTTGGAGCCCAGAGTGGGCAAGTGGCTTTCGGGATACTTCCTTGATTTCTGTCTGTACAGCGACTGCTCCATGTGCATTTCTGCTTGCAAAGAGGGGTTGCAATAGGCGCTGGCGGAGCGGATGGCCGTGCGGTGATAAGCGATGATGTGATCGGGGACGTCCAGGGGGTGCCCGCCGTGGGACGAGGCTATGCTCATGCGGCCCTCGTGGTACAGGTAAGGATCCGCATAGAGAGCCTCGTTCCTGTACATCGCCAGGGTTTTGCCACTCAGGTCCTCATCCGGCTTGACGTCTCTTCTTTCCAAGATGGCGCTTGGACTGGGGGAGATGGATCTGGAGACGGGCAGGCTGGAGAGTCTGTCCCTGGGGATGGTGGCGTTGCCGGGGACCACCATGGGGCGGGCGCCCCCATACGGAATCCTGGACGGGGACGGAGGCATGGAGTGGGGCCCGGGAGTGGGCGGTGGGGAATGCGGAAGGGCGTGGGGAGGAGCTGGGGCGCCAGGTCGAGGGCTGCCAGGGCCGTCCCCTCGTGCGTAGACAATCTCCCTCTGCATCTGGAAACGAAGCACGGGGTTAGGAGGCCTGCTGCACACGCCCGGCTGCAGAGAAGTCTCACAGGGGCAGTGCCGCTCCCGTTCCTGGGGGTCCGGACACTGCCCCTCTCCTGCGAGATGCCCAGGCCCTCAGTCCTGCAGCCCGTGACCCTGCCCTCCCTGGGCAGAAGGGACTCTTCCGTCGCGGTCACGTCAAGGATGCGGAAATAGGCTGGGACCCAGTCACACCTCCTCAGAGTCAGAGGGGCAGGAGCAACCACGGAAGCAGACCAGAGAGACAGAGGGGCTGGAGGTGCCAGGCTGCTGGCCTCCTGGACGGCCGGATGAGGGCAGGAAGGGTCTAGACGCTGTAAAGGGTAAAGACATGGGGCTCCAGAGAGAGTACCTGCCTGCTGACAGGTTCATACTGGCCCGGGAGACTCATTCTGCAAGTCTGACTCCTATGAGATAATAAATTCAATAATTTTGTGGTGTTTTAAGCCAGTTTTTTTGGGGGGGGGTAATGGTGATAGACGAACCCAACCTCACCCGCAGCCCCGAAACTCAGTTCACAGTGATTTGTTCCGGCAACCACAGGCAATGCACATGCCCAATGTAGAGCTCAATGCTGCTGGGTCTGAGAACAAAACAATGCAGTAGTTCAAATTCTGAGGTCATAGCTTCTCCAAAACACTGGATAAGCCTGGTCTAATGTCTCAACGGTGCTAAAATGATGTTTTCTACAACTTCTTCCGGGTCCTAGGAAACAGTAATTTGATTTTCCATCGTTCTAAGCTAATCCAGTCTGGGGACAGGATCAGAGAGGCAAAGGAGACGCCTGGGGGAAACCTGGAGGGAGGGTCCTTTCATGCACCAAATCTCCGTGAGTCTGAGAAACCTGCACGGAGAGGCTGGGGAGACAATCCCCCAGAGGTGACTGAGAGTACAGGCGGAGTCCCAGGGCACAGGGCGACGGGGAGGGGAGGGAGGGACCCAGGCATGACAGGAGGGATCCTGAAGCTCAGGCCCTGGCCCTGCTGTGGCACGGGGCCTGGCGGGGCTTTGTGCCGGGAGCCTACACTTCTGGGCTATGTCCTTCCCCCCAGATTAGGAGAAGTGAGAATCCCACAGGGTCTTCTCCCAACTCTCCTTTAGGAGAAACAGTCACTGAAGAATCCAGTTAAAGGGGAAATGGATCTGTAATTTGCAACTACATTATGTGCTTAGCAAGCGTCAGAATGAAAAATACAAATGAATTCCGGAGAGGACCCCAGAGGGAAAGACAAGCTGAGGTTCTCCAAGTGGCTTTGAGGGAAATGGCAGTCTTGGCACTGGCTTCAAGTCCCATTTGTGCTGCCGTAGGGTATTCCCTGTCCTGAATTCCAGGAGAAGGACAGACAAGAGCATCAATGCTTGCAGGAGAGCTGAGACGGGGCATGAGGGGAGAGGAGGCAACTCTAAAGGACGGGAACCAAGATGTGCGGTGGAGGACGATGGGAGGGGGAGGAGGAGAAAAAGCAGAGGCAGCCAGTCAAGGTGGGGAATGAAAGAGAGCCTGGTCTCTTGAATACACACCAAGTGATCACTGCCAGAGGAATTCACTGGTTTAGTAAACCAGTCACCCAGCACTTACTTAGAGCCAGGTGCTCTCCCAGCACACAGCTCTGGAGGGCCCCCACGTCCCTGGCAAGGGGAGGGTGGGTTCTGTCTATTCCCTGTAGGTGAGCAGGTGGCACACGGAGCTGTTTGTCTCCCAGGCTTCCTTCTCTTACTCCGGGAGGATCCTGCAGTGCAGAGCCTTAACTGGACTGGGGAGTTTTAGGTATCACAATGGACTTCAGACTGAAAGCCACCAATTAGAAGTATAAACAAGACACAAACAGAAACAAAATGGGGGCCTCAGGGGTACATTTCCTGAGCACCACTGAGTTGGCCTCTCAGCTCCCTGAGAGGCCGAGTGTTTCTGAGGACCCCGAGGGTACCGGTTGGTTCCTCACTCACAGTCACAATTTGCCTTCATTGCCATCGCTCCTTGTCCAACCCCCACCTAGAGCTCCAACCCCAAAGGCTGGTCTGTTTATCCTCCTCTAAACCTGACCATGACACCTTTGGGGGTCGCCTCCCTGGAGCTGTTCCCCCACGTCCTCACCTGGTAGCTCTGCAGCCAGGCCTGGTTCAGGTGCGCTGGGGCCTCAGCCCACGCCTGGCAGCCTCATGACTCAGGTGCTCAGGACCGCAGAGCAGGTGGTGGGTCCCAAGGTCACCGTGGAGCCATTTACCCGGCTGCTCCTCATTCAAGAATGGCGCAAGCAACCACGTGACAGGTTTTGCAGAAAGTCAGCAGAGATCCTCCATCAATGCCTCTCCCACTCTGTCCTCCACAACCCAGGGCTTAATAAAAGGGGAAGATCTGCCTCAGCACAGAGCACCAGAGGGATTCAGCCGGCAACGCACAAATGACCCAACGCCCCACGCAAGTGGCCACACAACACAGCGATCGACCAAACAAACACCAAGACAGATCCATCCCAGCAGTCACACGCACACTGTGCAAAAACAACACACAGTGCCCAGGACGCTACCAACAAACGGTAGGAACAGTTGTCATCATTATTACTAATTCCAAATAAGATAAGATTCCCAGTGCCTAGAGCTCCACTGGGATGAATAACAGCTCTAACCAAGCTTGTCACTGTTCCCTGTCCTCCTTTTCCTCTTTATTCATCTGCGGATAACATCCTGACCTGGGGAACCACGATTCCAACTCACACTCGGCAGGAACCTCCACCTTCTGGTAAGAGAATAAAAGGAGACATCAAGATTCTAGGGAGCACAGGACTATCTAGAAGCGTAAATAGTATGCATGAAAGAAAAACGTAATAAAAAGTTGAATAGATGTCTCTTAATGCAGCAGCCCTACCTTGCTTACCTGCAGGAGTGTTTTTAAAATGGTGATATGAAAAGGAATGGTTAGGAATTACATTGTATCAGTAACTTCTAAAAAGAAATATTAAAAAAACCTCCTTAGAAAAGAAAACCTCATTAGACTTCCGGATGGCATGTGTAGATGTGATCAGAAAGCAATGTAACTATTAAGTAAGAATAATTCTGAAGCATCGCCTTGTGGGTTCACATGTAGAGTGTGAGTGATAGTCAAAATATTAACCCCAATACCTAGTGTGGCATGAGTCCAATCGACCAGAGTAGAACTCCAGTGTGGATGGCTCCTGGCTGGAACCAATCGGCTCATATACCTGATGGTCGCGCTTGGTATCGGCCCTGCTCGGTCCACTTTAAAGCAGTCTAAGGGCTGGGGATTTAGCTCAGTGCTTCCACCGACCACCTCGAAAGTGCAAGGTCCCGAGGAGTTCAATTCCCGGTACCAAAAAAACCCCAAACAAACAACAACAACAAAAAACAATCTAGCCATCAGCCAACAGGCATACTGAATAAATCACTGAGTTATCCACTGTGGAACTGAATACAAGGCTCAGTTACGACAGAACAGGTAATCTGAGGTTGACTGAGTGACTCAGAAGTTAACTTGGAAGCCGTCTGCAGAATTCTTACGCTGCTCAGCCGAGCTCTGGCTGACTTTTCAGGATGGAGTTTGAAGGAGCACCCTGATGACAATTTTATCCTCAGCTCTAGAGAGCCCAGGAAAAGAATGACACGAGGATCCCATTAAGCCCTAGGAAAATGAGTTTTTTAAACCTACAACTAAAACAAACTCTTGAAATGAGATAACTTGGGTTTATGCGCTAAATGGTAGGGAGCAAGTACAGGCAACTCACACTTAGGATGTGATGGGAAGACACGGAGAGAGGAGAGGAGAGAGTCCTTTTCCAAGTGTGATCTCTGAAGGAAGGAGACTGCTCGTTATTCCAGTAAGGGGTGGATTTTATCGATTCTACAAGAGCTCAGCCTGACTGGATGAAGCAGAGGATGAGTAAGATTCTATAATTCATAGTTTAACGCGATGCTCATTTTTCAGGCTAGTTTTCTTCTCAAGGTGTTATCTTCCTAGAATGAGGCACCTACATGGTTTTATTTCATTTTGTTTTTAAGTATCCAGCTAACAAGTAAAGGACATGGCATGAAACACATACTGAATTCTTCCTGCACTAGTATTCAAAGTCAGACCCCCAGGAAAAATAACCCGAACCTGACACGGTGAAACAAATAAGTGTCTATCTCGCTCTGTCTCCACCCAAGGATGTCCGAATCCCTTCTCTTCCCACCAGCCGGACGCCACTCATTTTCCTAGGAATTGTCTCATTTCTCCTAGTAAGTTCAAGTATCTGGATGTTATACCCTTGCCCCTTGCCTCTCAAAAAATTTCAGAACTACTATCTTCAGGTACAGAATTTCATTTCATAGCCAGAAAAACAGACGACCTAAACACAAGACTAAAGATCCTTCTACTATTTTTTTCGAATTCGACATGGACATTTATTTGTTATACCTGAACTCAGACACAGAAAAGGTACAGTTAGCTGTGTGTGCACCAGACCCTCCTCCCGCATCCATCTGCTTGGTGGGACTCCATCTCTCCCTCTTCACTACTGCTCAGTCCAGGACTGTCTTGCTGGTTTGCATCCTTCTGGTGAACAGGAAGATTTCTCCCGGACCCTCATCTCCATAGCCTCAGGTGACAGAGAGGCTGCTGTCTCCACCCTCGGCACCTAGGGAGGCTCAGTAAGTAGCCAGTATGAAGAGCTGTACTCCAGATAGCCCGAAAATACCTAGGGCAGCTTCAGATTCAGTATCGAAAGTTCAAGTTAGGAATCTTTAGACAGCTATATTTCATTTCCCAAAGCACTGTAAGTCAAGTCAAGTATCACTCATTCAGAAGTTTCTCGAAGGTAAGAAGGAACATCTTAAAATTGTTTCTGGAAAAAAAAACCACCTCTAGCATGAAGAACGTTTCTTTAACATCACTGGGGGAAATTATTTCACGTATGCATGTCTCTTTGCGGGGCATTTAAGACACACAGATACATGCTTGTCGGAAAGGTACT